GCCAGATAAGTGTCAGCCTGAGTCAGCGGCACCCTGCTGCATGCTGAGGCATCCAGAACTGAATGGCAGTCAGCCAGTAGGGGGGGTGGGGGGTATTTCTCAGGCTGTCACTGCTCTTATTGACTACTCTCTCAACTTCCTGGGTGTCTGTATCTCTAGTCATGTCTGTTTTCTCCTCCAGGCTTGGACCCTCGATCTGAAGACTTGAGGAACACAGTGAAGTCAGACGAAGCTTCGGGTTGTGCAGTAGGCTGTCTGGCCCCATGTCCGCCCCTGCTCCAGCCAATCGGAGGTCTGCATCAGGCTCTCGCAGGTAGGTGGAAAATGAGAATCTGTGTTTTTATTCTTTTAGCCACACTCCCTCATATTAATTTCTCATAGATCAAGCATCCGGGAACGGTGCTGGACTGTGAGCCAATTTTGGCATGGCAGCTAAACCGCGTTATTACAACATCCGTGTTCATCACGTGATGCACACTGGCTCAGAGGCACTTTTTTCACTGAAGAAACACTGCAAACAGAGCAGCTGTAAAACAGTGAACTGATGTTTCTGACCATCACAAACCCTGATAAACTGACTCTTTATTATTTGATTTTGATCTACTGGGTCAAGTTTCATTTGAAAAGCCTCAAATTAATGTAGGATTTTTATTTTATCTCATTCATTCGTGCCCAGTCTGAAAGCATGAAGAATGTTTTGCCAATCCAGTATCCAGTTCTCCTTTGTAATCCATGTGGGAGATGCATATACTAGCAGTAACATTTTGTTATATGAATCAGTGCCATATTCTGCTTGGTTACTTTTACTCTTTTTCTGTGTCCTTCCATACACTATTGTTGAATGTCTTTCATTTTTCTGTAGCTCAGTTATGTTGCTCCTTGTCAGAGTAACAAATTCTACTCTGTGATATTAGTGGCTGTATAATGTTGTGTATAAGAACGTATGTGGACTGTGTGTGGGGAATAATCCCAAACATTGAGCACAGATTTCCTCCAACTTAAGAGCTCGATACCTCTTTCTAATAGGATGCTTATAAATTATTACTGATTAATACATCATGCACTAAAGATAGAGCTGTTATAAGCCATTTATAAGAACAGATTTTAAGTTTCCAAGGGTTTGTTCTTCTCCACCAAGACAGTCTTTAGCTCTTTAGCTAATCAAGTTGGTGGCTCCAATGACCCTCTTGAAACAAGCGGAAAACTGTTTATTAATTTATTAACATTGATAGATACAGATGACTTAATTATGTTTGCTGTAGGTTAATAAAATGAGAAAAAGATGTGACAGTTGTTATGAATGGCCTAACTACAGTTATGTAATTAACATCAACTGCATACTGCATGTTTTATCAGAAAAAAAGTCAACCTGGCAACCTTTTTATAAAAGGTGTTGCATTAGAAAGTGGTACCCTTCAACCCTTAGTCAGCTCTCTCTTTCTCTCTTCCTTTCAGCCATGGTTGTGTCAGCACTTTAACCAAATCTGTTTTTATACTTCTCTCATTTAGCTCTAAATATCCTGATGGAGGTGCTGTTGTGTTACTGCCGAGAGCACTGGCTTAAAATAAACTAGATGGAGTCCGGCAGACAGCTCCAGAACCCACTAAGCAGTGAACTGCAGGTTTACTGCAACCCGAACACAGTTTATTGAGTATATTGATGTGTTTTCTCCTACAGATACTGGACATATTTTGCCTGTTTAGTGGAATGTATTTTAAAGGATAAGACTGTGTTACTGAAGTTGTTCTCTGCAGGAAGCAGTGATGGCTTCTTTTTCCATTAAGCCATTTAGGCTGACACTTCACTATTCTCACTTACTGAATGCTGCAGTAATATTGAATGCAGGATTTACAGTGAGGAACCGAAGTATTTGAACACCCTGCGATTTTGCAAGTTCTCCCGCTTAGAAATCATGGAGGGGTCTGAAATTCACATTGTAGGTGCATTCCCACTCTGAGAGACAGAATTATAAAAAAAATTCCAGGAAATCACATTATATGATTTTTAAAGAATTTATTTGTCTAGCACTGCGAAGGGGACAGGACGTCTGCACTGTATTAAGGAGAGGATGAATGGGGCCATTTATTGTGAGATTTTGAGCAACAACCTCCTTCCCTCAGTCAGAGCATTGAAGATGGGTCGTGGCTGGGTCTTCCAACATGACAACGACCCGAAGCACACAGCCAGGATAACCAAGGAGTGGCTCCGTAAGAAGCATATCAAGGTTCCGGAGTGGCCTAGCGGTCTCCAGACCTCAATCCAATAGAACATCCAAAGGTTTCTGTACCAAATATTAACACTGATTTTCTCAGGTGTTCAAATACTTATGTTCAGCAGTGCAAGACAAATAAATTCTTTAAAAATCATACAATGTGATTTCCTGAATTTTTTTTTTATTCTGTCTCTCAGAGTGGGAATGCACCTACAATGTGAATTTCAGACCCCTCCATGATTTCTAAGTGGGAGAACTTGCAAAATCGCAGGGTTTTCAAATACTTCTGTTCCTCACTGTATGTATTATTCTTAATGAGTACAGTGATAGTTGAAAATGGATTTGTATTGCAACCTATATTATTCTACTGCATGTTGAAACAAATGCATTTAGAGTGATTTTAAGTATTCTCATTCTCATGGTTTGTGTGTGGGTCACAGACAGATAATAAAAGCCCTCATACTGGAGTCAGGATGTCTTGTTATGGTGGCTTTAAAGCCATAGTGATGTGTAACTGGAGATGCTTCAAACAGTAGCTGTGGTGTCCTCCTTTTTCTCGTCTCTTCTCCTCAGATTCAACCCTCTGAAGGTGCTGCAGCCCAAACGCCGCTTGCAGCAAATACTGGCGTCTTCGCCCGTCCCGGTGCCCAAGCCGGCCTCGGGGTCGGGTTCGGGGTCAGGGTCGGCTGTGCCAACGGCCACAGTGCCAGTGGCCATTCCTGTGCCCGCGCCCCCTGCGTGAGACACACTTCAGTTACAGTCTCAGAGAGCATGCTCCATAGCTGTAGCTCTGGCATGCACTGTAGCCACTAAAACAAAACCAGCAACAGTACACAAACATTGTTTATGCTACCAGTCTTACTTAGACACAGCTGTCCTTGCTGAGCCCTTATTCCTACTGTGAACTGTCAAACTCTCTATTTTAGCACCGCACATCTGCAGTTTACAGTAACAGTGATTTGCCACTCGAAATTCTTCACCAACCTCCGGCTTCTAGACATTGGGAAGATACTTCACGGTGGGTGTGCTGGTTGTCACTGGAGTTTCTTTAAACCTGTAACCTCACAGATTAATATAGTAAAGTTAACTAAGCTATTCTCCGTTGTAGCCAGTCATGCTAACGATTGCAGTTTACAGTGTGTTAGAGCAGAACAACACACACTGTTTGGCCCTTTCCTTACACTTGTGTTTATAGTCTTGCAAAGGCTAAAGAAAATGGACACAGCCTTTGAAACTAAATTGCAGAGTAGCTCTCATAGACACTACCAGTCAAATGTTTGGACACACTTCCCATTGAATTGAATGGGACTATACACGGTGTCAACATGTAGAAAAATCCAAAGCTTGACAGGCCTGTTGTGCCTACGTAGCTATGGTTGGCCAGTCACTGCTCAATGGTGGAGTTTAGTGAACATTCAATTACTGACCTAAATACCCGATTTATTGAGCTTTAAATATAACAAATATCCTAGGTCACATAGTCCCATTGTATAAAGCATGAAAAGAACATGAAGATCCCATCTGGAGTTTGCAGTGTTCATATTCAACACAGCGTCTCTGAGTCTGCTGATTTTGTAGCAGGACAAAACAAGGGAAAGCCTGATGAACAGGAACGTTTTTGCACATACTAGCGACACTACTACTTTGAAGGTGTCCCTGGGTAAAGTTTTGCACTAGATTTGGAGGATTTGTAACACCATTTGGTCCTGGTTATAGTTTTTATTGCATGAGGTTTGGTTTAGTGGCCACATGCATGGTAGAAATGGTGCTATTGTTGTGCTGCGGAAGCATACTGTGATCACAAGTGATCACTGGTTCACCACAGCTGCTCAGTCAACAGCACAGTGTTTTTTTACAGACACTATTCCACAACAGAGAGTTGGTGAGACACTGACATTGGCTCAAACGAGAATGTGGTTTTTTTGTTTTTTGTTTTTTGGGGGGGGCTCAGTAAAAGTGATTTCAGCTTCTTGAGCAAAGTCTCTGTCTCCACCAGAAACAAACTACAGTGTAAAGGAATATTTCTGCATTCCACCCACTCACCCACTGAGTCCTGGGAAGCACTGGGTGGCTGCAGCCTACAGTACCTACCACTACGTTCACCAGACCAATACACAGTCCAGGCACAGGTTCCATCCCAGCAGATTGATGGGATACACATACATATTGTTGTATTGTTTACGCTGTCCTCCAGCAGGCTCGGCACTTCAGCTGCTTCACCTTGCCTGTTCCCTGTTCCTGTTCTGTTAATGTCTCCGCTGTATGTTGCTCTTTGAAGGACTTCTGAGTTGTCAGCATCTGGCCTCCTCCTTTCTGTGTCACACAGGACACATTTACTCAGCACAACTCCTGCTAGGGATTTTGAAGGTGGGATGGCACAAAAAATAGAATTATAAAAAGTGAGAATGACACATTTAGTGTGTGAAATATACTGTAGCAACTGTAATACTGAGCAGTTGCATGCTATGTCCAGTGAATTGTTAAACACACAGGGTTTCCCGGTTTGATTGGAATGATGTTTCCAGGGGGATAACACCTTTTCTGAACAGTGGCTAAATCCTAAAATAAAGTGTAAAAGTGGAATAAAGTCATGAAGTCATAAAACATACTCTGGAATGTCCTTTTTACAGAAGTATCCTGCTAAAGTTTGCTAACAATAGCCACCATTCACTACTGGTCGACACAGACTATTTGAGGCCATAGCAGCAAAAGCTCTGATGAGCACGGTTGTATTTAGTGCTGAAGAATTCAACTTTTCATTTATAAGAGGAAGACTGGATTATTTTCTTTCTTTCAAGGATTACAACCATTTAGATTTAAATTATAAAACCACTGAGTTGATGCAAGCCTATGTCCATGTCTTTGAAGTAGTGTAACAGTGTGGAGTTGCTGTGTCCTGTGTGCAAACCCCTCATGGCTGCTCGGCCTGGCCCTGCTTGACCCTCCTCCCTCTGTGGAGGCCAGTGACTGGGCAACAGTCATGTCCTTTTAAAGTAATTTGTGTGTGTGTGATACAATATAATTGCTTTTTAAAACATTATATTTATTATAAGTAAAGGCATGTCTTGACACAAGTTGCCCATCACAGATCACTTTTCCTTTTTCTGACTACACTCTGTCTTGTATTTTCTTTAGCAGGATTGTAACAGTGGTTAAATGTGAAAAATTTACTTCCTCTTTTTTATTTAGATGTGGTTTTACACTGTCTCTTTTTTTCAAATGTGTTCATTGTCTCACATGGATTAGTTTGGAGGAACAGTTTGGCATTCATTCACTTTCTTGCCGAGAGTTGGGTGAGAAGATCATTGTCACTCTCATCTTGGTTGAACAGTTGGAGCTAGGTTTGAAGCAGAAAACAACATTGTCCAATGTTTCAACAGCGGTTAGTCTATAGAAGAATGAGGAAAAAACAGCTTTCTTGATGTTTTGTGGAAAGAAAGATGACCGGGTGTGTTGTATAGCTCAAGGGGTTGGATTTATCCTTCTCACTTCATATTTGCCTTAATCTGACATCCCTCTGACAACTGAACTGTCTTTTAATAGTCCATCTAGATTTTAGTAAGCAAATATACATTGTCCTGGTGGTAGGAGAGATGTTGTCCTCTCATGTTCTATTTTCACATCAGGTTTGTTGTTGTCTAGAGACATTAGTCTGAAGTAAAATGCTCTGTATGATGAGGCTCATAGGATGATTGCTAATGCTGCTGCTGCCGCTCCCCTGCTTCTCTCATCATTAGTCTCTGAGCATTTTACGTCTTGTGAAATGTGTTTCAGGATGCAGGGAGTTAGCTTGTGTTCTGCACCAGTAAAGGCCTGCTAACTGCAAACTGAATTCAGAGCTGTCTATCTTTCTGCTGGCAAAGCTTTTAGAGAGCCACTTCTCATGGGCCACTTGAGGGTTTGAGTGCTTGATGATATTTGCCATCTGTGCTGCCTATTCTTCAGACTCTGAATGAATTGGATCAGTTCCAAGAAATGACAGACAGGGTTGCCTCACCTCAATAGTACAGCGTGCATAGTTTCACAGCATCCACCTTGTATCACCCAGGAGTGCTGTCCTCTGCTATCACCCTGTTGTCTCTGCCTGGTCAGGTTTGACTACTGCAGGTTCATAGAGCTGGACTACGTACCCATGGAGACCGGATATATGGTCTCAATGCGCCCGACTAAAGGCTATGCATCAACCAAGTCACCAACTAAAGGATACACTTCCACCAAGTCTCCGGATCGCAACAGCCGTTCAACACGCTCTCCCTCCTCCACCCCTGGTTCTCGGTCTGTTCTCCTCTTTCCTCCCGATCAGTGTTGTTCCTCTGAAGCATGGGAATGATGACACCCTTTGTATTGTTGTCAGTGTTTTATCATGTTACCATGTGGAAAGCATCTTAGAGCATTGTTTCCACAGCATCATGTCTTAGCCTGGCCTGTTATTCCCTTTGTTCTCTTTTCTTTTGATCATTTGCTCTAGTGAACACTATCCTCACTTTGTTTTTGTTGAATGCTTCTTATAGTTTTGTTATGGACTGTCTAACTTGTTTTGATTTTAGGTTTGGTTTCCATCACTGCAGAGCTCATTCCCTTTCTGTAAAACTGCACCATCACTGTCAGTGCCCAGAGGAGTTTGTGTTTCAAAGGCAGACCCATTGTCTGTTAGTGTGGGACTGTGGCCTGTGTATATATAATGTGTCTGTGGATATTTCTACAGTTCTGTGTTGTACTGGCACGTTAGTGGATCTGGACTGAAGTTTGCTCCATTCACGTTTATTGTGATTTTCGGTTTGTGTCATGGTGGTTTTGCATAACAAATCACAGAATTCACCTCACTGTTGTGTGAAGTTTGGTTTCACACTGTTATCAGCAACAGATTAACATGTCTTCTCTTACTTTGGACCAGGCGGACACCTGCCGCACCCAGTAATAGGGATCCCTATGGCAACACCTCCCTCAGCAACAGCAACTCAGGCTCTTGTAAAGGCAGCGACTGCAGCCCCACCAAAGGGTGAGACATGAGACTCTGCATGCTGAGGAATAGAGAAGCTTCTTTACCCCGGTGCTCTAGTCTTAATATACTGCCTGAAATACATGATTGCACTTATTTCAATTTACAGATAGCAACTGAAACTGGACGACTTCCTCATCACAGTGAAAATTCTAATTTGATATTGTTACGTGTTTCTATTACCCTACCTGTTTGATTTGTCCGATAATCAGATTGAACTGTTATTTCTTTTCCACCTCGTTGTCTAAATTGCTACAAAAAGAGATGTCAGCAACAATTCATTGATCTGGAATCAAGTTCCAGTTTTCACACAAGCAAAACGATGCACCCCACTTGATTTTCTGAAGTGTCCAAAGCACAGTGTCTTATAAAGCTGTTATAATCAATATTTTATAATCGAAGCTCAAACAACCGTGTGTTAAATGAAAGATGTTGCTCGTAGTGATGAACGCACAGAGAATTATCTCCAGATTCAGCACTTTCCCTCACCTCTATAGAGAGCTTGTCAAGCTACCTGACCAGCACTAAACAGCAGATAGGCAAACTCCGCAACTAGCTTGTGAGCAGCATTTAGCTTCTGAAGAGCTGGATATTTCCACCGGGAGTTTGTGAAAACCAAAATACTTCTAACAAGGGAGAGATTGTTGGATTTATATTTGTTAGGGGAGCACAAAGATGATTTCAAATGAATGCTAATGTTTGATAAATGAGCCACTTTTATCTAAGGTGTTGGCTAGCTCAGATCTATTAGTTGATAGTAAATTAATGGTGGTGTTATAGCTTGCCCTAAGGTTTCATACCCAGATGTCTCAAAATCAAAAAACATATAAAATCTAACACTGGAGTGAGAAGTGCTGTTAAACCCAAAGATGACAGTTTTCCCTTCATCATGCTTGTGTCCTGCCTGTGCTAGACGTCACCAGAAGTCCACTTCATGTACGGATAACCATGGTATTCGGCCCCCTCCACCAGAGCAGTATCTCACACCCCTACAGCAGAAGGAGGTGTGTATCCGACACCTACGGGCCAAGCTAAAAGAAACCATCAACACCCTGCAAGACAGGTGAGGCACTGGGACAGAAATAGTGTGTCAGTGTTACTGCAAAGGTCTGGTTAGTTTGTTGGTTTTTCCTTTACTGTGTTTCCCAGATTTTCACCCTAACACCCTATCCCCATTTACCTGACCATTTCTTTGTCCTAGGGACACAGAGATAGATGAGCTGAGAGTCCAGCTTTACAGGATGCAGGAGGACTGGGTTGAGGAGGAGTGTCATCGTGTGGAGGCTCAGATGGCTCTGAAGGAGGCACGTCAGGAGATCCAGCAGCTCAAACAGGCTGTGGACATTGTCCATGCCAGGCTCAGTGAGTCTGGGGGGCTCAGTGGGGATATAGGAGTCCAGAAGTACTTACAGGATATAAACACCCAGAACCACAAACTTGAGAACCTGTTGCTCAGTATGGAGTTAGCTCAGGCTGGATTAACCAAAGAGGGGGAAGCCATACCAGGCTGTCGGACCCGTGCTGGAGGCTCAGCCCCGGCGTCGGTATCAGGGGAAAGTCCGGGAGGAATGCCCAAACCAGTCGTCGGAGGGAGGGGTTCTTGCTCCTGTGATGGTTCCCCAGCGCGTTCTTTGACACGGAGCTCCACCTACACCAAGCTGAGTGATCAAGCACTGGCAGACCACAACGGTGTGGGGCAGGACTTTCCATGTCTGTCAGGTGATGGCACCCAGGACAGTGGCTTTGTGTGCTGTGGAGAGAGCCGTGCCCCCACTGACCTACTGCTGGAGGCTGCCTTCCTCTCTGAGGAAACAACATCTTTACTTAACTCCTACACACAGACCTTCTCCCACTCTCTGCCAAACTCTCTGCCTCGCACCTTCTCCCACACCTTACCTCACTCTTACACTCACAGTTTGTCCCACTCTGTGCCTCACACTTTGCCAAACTCCTCCACTTATGAGAAGCTGTGCACAGGCGAGCGGTTGATGCCTTTCCGTTGCGGCCTGGGTGGAGTAGGCTGTATGAGCCACCCCTGTCTGTCTCACCACCACCTGTACCTTCACCCCCTGCGGGAGATGGGCATTCAGACTGAAAGCTGTCCCATCCCTGCAACTGCAGGTTACCCCTCTGATCTGGATACCATTGCAGAGCAGCGGTCCTTCCGCTCCCAGGCCTGCAGCCCCACCTCAACGTGGATGTCTGATGAGGTGGAGGAGGAGCTGGACTCCATCACCACAACGACATCGGTAACCAACCCCACAGTCATGAGTACAGCCACCGAGCCAATCCCAGTTTCCAAAGCACTACTAGTCCCTCCATTACCACGGTCTGCTACTGTATCATGTTCCATGGAGAGTCCTCTATGTGGGGGGAAGGAGGGAATGGACCAAGAGGAAAAGCAGGAGAAAGAAAAGAGAGAGAAGGAAGCTGCTGAAATGAAGACGCTGGATGAAACAACAGTGATCAGACTGGAGGATGAAGGGCAGCAGATAGGCTCAGTGGGAGGGATAGAACTGGAGAGTCAGGGTGCAGTGGAGGAGGCTGCACCAGCAGAAACATCAGCAGGGACACAGCATAATTTTAAATTTGAAGCATGCTGTGGAGAAGGCAGGCAGGGTGGTACAACACTGGAAAATCTCTGTGTGGAAGAAGTTAGTCAGGTACAGACAGAAAAGTTGAGTCCAAGTTGCCCAGGATTATCACCAGATGTAGAGCCTCATACCTCCCAGCCTAGGAGATCTACTTCCCATGAGGAAATATCTGGTGTCACTGTAGTGGAGGTGCACAATGATAATGAAGATGAAACTAACGAACAAGGCGCCACAGGGGACGACACTGCAGAAGAGGGAAATTCATCTGGCTCCAGTAAAATTCAGAAAAGCTATTGGAGTCGTCACTTTCTAGTTGATCTGCTAGCAGTGGCCATCCCTGTGGTACCAACACTGGCGTGGCTCTGCCATGGTCCAGTTCGTCATGGACAGCCCATGTATCATATAGGGTCGCTGTTGCGAGGATGTTGCACTGTGGCACTAAACTCGCTGCGCAGGGGAGGTGGGTTGAGGCATTACCCCGCAGGCGGGGGAGATCTAGGTGGGACACAGATATAAGAGGAGAATCTCTTCAGCACCTTTATGGTCCTTAACTATGACTTTTCTTTTATGGGTCAGGATCCTTAGCTATAGTGTGAGGAAAGGTTTAGAGCTGTAAGGAGCATCACGAGCAAAAAAAAAAAAAAGTGCATTTATGACTAAAATCTTTGACCAAGAAACTCTATTGTGTTTGGACCTGCTTCTTATCGTCTCTCACCCACTGGTTCCTTCTGTTGCTACCTTCCTTCTCTCTGCTAACACTGCTGACTGGTGCAAAACTGATTGAGCAGAATGAAACGTTTGATCTATACTTGGATGTTTGACACTGATTGTTTTGTTTATAAGTGCAGGGAAAATAGTGATTCATTGATCTGTCTACCTGCTATTCTGACTGAACTCTGACATGTTCAAGTGTGTAACCAAATGGTCTCATTGTTGCTAGTATATGAGCTACACTGCTTATTGACCAATGGGTGAGGGAAAGGTCACCCTAATTCAGAATTCATGTGTTTCCTATAATTGCAGAAAATTTTTTAAAACTTACTTGAGTCTTTGATGTTTTGAGTAAAAACATGGCTCTTAGCTACTGTCAAAAAAACCAATGTAGACTCAGAACTCTGGTCGATTCTAAGGGTAGAAACACAGCAAACCTAGAAAGGCTCAATTCAATCATGCTTTCAAGACAAATGCATTTACCACTGCTTTCACTGTTGCTTCTGTTGCCTTCTGTGCCTGGAGCAGACACTGTACAGATAAAGTCCAGCTGTAATACTGAATGGTCACCTCATAGGGATTTCTGAATCAGGCTGAATTTCCACAATATCAGTGCTCATTTGAGGCTTAGTTTTTGATGGGGTCATAATGCCATGAAGTGGGTATTCAGACTGAATGCAAAGGGAGAGCTTGTGTTGGTGGGGCATGGTATTTCAGATACCAGTGAGACATGCTTTGATTTTCTAACTCTGAAACGTCGTCGTCACAGCATCAGTCATTTCCTCTTGTGAGGTAAACATTAGAAATACAGTATTCTTGGTCCAAAGAACCCATGTGAAATGTGTGCCTGTGGGTAGAGTTATGTCACTGCCCAGCGCAGGGCCATGATGTTGTCTATGGCCAGGCAAAAGATAAGGCAATCTAGGTCAGGTCTTCTCAAAGTCTGGACTTCAGCCTTGATCCAGACCACACAGCAAGTCTATCTGCACCCAGCCCACTCCTCATATTATAAATACAATAATACAATGTAATTAATGGTATGTTTCCTACCTTGAAAAAATGTGAATAAAACGTTTTATACTTATCAATAAATTGTTAGTTTTGTAGAATATAGCCTATTTGGGAATCCTTACAGCGATTCTGGCCCAAGAATAAGGCCAAACGTAATTGTTTCCCTGTTTGACATTGCTGTCATGGCAACATTGACAGCCAGCTAGTGTAGGATGTTTAACATCAGTATGTGACAGAGCTCAAGCACTGGTTAACAGGCGCTAGTTCAAAATTTGAGTCAGATAACATTGCTTGTAAGTTATAAACAAGTTTAATAAGTCATTTGCTTATCACAAATCACTCCAGACCTTTGACCTTGAATAGAAATCAGACCTTTGAATATTAAGTTTGAGGACCCCTGGTTAGGTTTTTTGGCCAGAAACCCTGTTATTTTTCTAGAGGTCTCTATGTTTGCTGCAGATCAGAGAGAGAAAAAAAATTAATTACTTCAGTCCTCTTATCAAGAAAATGTAATGACACTATAAGCAAATATTTAGGTTTTCTGCATTAATTGGTGATGAAATGTGATCTGATCTTCACCCAAGTCACAAATATCAGCAAATACAATATTTCCAAGCTGATAAAACAGAACCAGTCATGATCTTTCAGGTCTTTGTTGAACACACCCATTAAACATTCAAAGTGATGGTGGAAAAAGTAATGGAAACACTAGGCTTCTGATGTCACTAAATGTCAACTGGAGTCAGGTGTTGGCAAACTTGGAGTCCAATCGATGAAACAAGAAAGGAGGTGTGGTTTAGAACTACAATGACTTGTAAAAATACTCAGTGTCATATTCACAAGCAGCATCTGCTGATGTGAGCCATACCTCTCCAAAAAAGAGATCTCAGAAGACAATCAAGAGTTGTTAATTTTCATGCAGCTGGAAAGAGTTAGTCATCTCAAAGACATTAGATATTCACAGTCCACATTGGTCAGTCCACATTTTGACATATTGTCTATAAATGGAGACGATTTGGTCCTGGTCTACTCTCCACAGAAGTGGGTGCCCCGCCAAGATCACTCCAAAGGCACAGGATAATGTCAGGATGGCTGTCCATAAGCTGAAGGTCAGAACAAGCTGGTTGATGCAGCAGGACAATGACCCTGAAGTAAATCTACTACAAAATGGTTTTGGAGACACAAAATCCACCTTTTGGAGTGGCCCGGTCAGGGCACAGACATCAACAAAATAGAGATACTGTGGAATGACCTGAAGAGAGCCATTCACACCAGACGCCCTAAGAACATGGCTTAGCTGAAGCAGTTCTGTGAGGAAGAATGGTCCAGAATTCCTCCTGAGCATTGTGCAGGTCTAATCCACAACTAAAGGAAGCACTTACTTGAGGTATTGCTGCCAAAGGTGGTTCAACCACTTATTAAAACATGGTTTCCATTACTTTTTCCACCATCACTTTGTATGTTTGAGTGTGTTCAATAAAGTCATGAAAGATCGTGACTGTTACATTTCCTGACCAATTTTATGCAGAAAACCAAGAAATTTCAAACAGTCCCATTACTTTTTTTTTGCTATATATCAACCTCTGTTGTGCAGGAACTGAAAATTTGCCTCAGCACACAGTTGCAGTTCTTGTATTGGCCAAAGAAAGATTTAGTAGAAAAACAAAAAACTCAGAAATCAAATCAGCAGTTTTTCTCCCACTCTCACAAGGGACATTAACACCCGGTGCTTCTTTTTTCAAAGTTGACTTTGCAATATGATCTAAACCTCCATTAGAATATGAATGGGTGTTGGTGGCTCCACCCAGTTCACTGTGTTTGGTATGTTTCTACCCTGAGAGTATACGATTAAATCTCCAGGAATCGAACAAAAGCTCAAACTGAATTTCACTGGATCCACAAAGGTGGTGCACACTTTATTATTGGCAGCATATTTACATATGTATTCAGCTGAACAAAAACGATCTTTATTTGGACTGTAACCAAACCTTATGCGTTTTCCTTTCATCTTGTCTATACAGCATCCCTCTGGGTGTTGACTGTGCAGTTACAGCCTCAGGCTACAGTGCATCTTTTCCACTCCTTTGCTGCTTCTTGCAACCATTAAAGGGTTAGTTTGGCATTTTGGGAAATATGAGTGTTTGTGCTGATACCACTGTCACATCTGTGCATTAAATAGCTAGCCTTAGGTGATTATGTAGCTTAGCATAAAGACCCGATACAGGGGAAACGGCATGCGTAACTCAGCTAGCATTTTTTTTTTTATCAAAATGAAAACGTCAGTGTAATAATTTTAAGTTGTAGTTTTACAGGGAGAGCATTCGGCCATTTTGTTGGTGTTACAGCCATTTGTTTTGGGATTTCAGGCAATTGGAGTAATAAGCCCTTATATTCTGAAGCTTGCATTAAAAGCAGATTCTGCTGAACTACTTAATTAATTGAAAGCATAGACAAATTATGAGAGAATGGGCACAAATATGTCAAAGGCCCCTGCCTCTCCTACACATTTAGGATAACACCAAGCAACAACGTGATCTGTAGTCAGTGCTTGTTTTCTTGTGTTTTGTGTCCGTTTCTTGTTGTTTTGCTTGTCTTTCTAGTTTTGTATGTTTAGTCAGTTAGCATATTTTTGTAGTTGTTTGGAGTCTTTTCTCTCTTTTTAGTCATCTTGCTAATGGTTTTGTAGTTGTTTTGCATCTTTTTTTATTGTATTGTTTTTGTAGTCATTTCAGAAAGGTTAATGGTCCTTTTGCAGTTCTCTGATCTAGGGGTCCCCTGACCTCTTGGGCCCCTGGGCCTGTGCAGTAATGACTGAAAGTAATTGAACTTGGTTAATGTTCATTTTGCATAGCAAACATAGGGAACTGCTTAAATTCATCACATTTAATAGAAAAGCCATATAATGACCAGATGCTTCGGCTCCTTTTGACACTTTGACGTAGATCTGACTGGAGTGCGTTGTGCTCAGTCTCTCTCTGTGCTGTATATTCCTGCTAACGTTAATGCTCTCGTGGTGTAGTTTAACTCTGTAGTCACTCTGGTAGTGTGCATCTCAAGTCCACTGTGCAAGAGTTTGTCAGCCATTGTAAAAGCATTTGTAGACATGGAGTACTACATGTCACACAACACTCGAAATGTAAATCAATACCGTACCTAAGTTGTACTTGTACTTGGGATCTGGGTGTTTTCTTTGTGTGAATGTATGTTTTCCAATAGGACTTTAATGAAAGTCGCATCTGATGGCAGTTTTCTGATCTTGTGTACATGTTTAATTTTATGTGTAGACAAGCAGCCTGCAAATGTAAAATCAAAACAGATTTGACTGTCAGAGACTCATGAACCAAACGTGAGCTGACAAACACCTGGACACAACCAGCAGAACAAAGTCTGACACTAGACACTATACTATTTGGTTGACATATTTTGCACTCTTGTTCACTTTAGGAATTTTAAGAAATTACTTGAAAATGATGATGTGTGTGTGTGTATCCAAAGTGTTGTATGTCCACTGAGTTCTTGCTGATTGTTTTGTTGGTCTGCATTGTCAGTAAAGCTTGACATAGTGCTGAGAATGTTGAAGGCAAAAGTGAGACAGGTGAAGTGTAGCTAGGCTAGTGGAAAACCTTTCAGGTAGACACTTATATAGTACTACAGTACATGTAGTAGTTGCCTTTCATTCGTGAGAAGAGCTGTTGATCTCTGCTCTTTATATTTGTCCATGTTATTTATCTACAAACCATACAAAAAGATCTAGGAAAATTATAGAAGTGTAAGTCTAAATGCTGTTGTAACATCACATATTGATAGAATGAGTAGTGTTCATGCTACATTGTCAAGCTGGGTAATTGTCCGACGTCTGACAATCATGACATTCCCTGTCTGTTTGGTTCTCACTTCCACCGGAAGGAGGCACGGAAGCAGTCGTTACTGAGATCCATGATCAGATTGAACGAGCGCCTTAGAGAGACACAGGCGTTTCTCTTCTCCTCCTACATGTTCTCACTTCTGCTCATCCGTCATGAGTTGTGCACTTGTGTTCCTTTCTTCTGGTTGTATTCAGTGCTTGGTTAAAGTGGCTTAAGAGGCTAAAACTATTTCATGTTTATAAGAAGCCATATAATCCCGTTAGGGAACAGCTGTGAGAATGTGGGCCTCTCCACAGTGCACTGTGTAACAATCTCATATGAGATGAGGAAAGTCCTTTGAATGAATATTGCTTTAAATCTGAGCTGTACTCTCCTGTTGTCGCTATACACAGGCTGCTGTAACAAAGAGAGGTGAGGAAAAGGAGGGGTAGATTTAGTGAACCTGTGATGCTGTATTAATAGGTTCAGGTGTTAAAGTTCAGCCTTGTTGTGGAGAACCCCTTAATTTATCTCTATGCACAGACATTTATGCTTTAGCTTCATTATGTGCTCAGTGTCCGATAGGTTTGTTTTGTAAAAGCTGTTGTTGTAAGGTCATGTACCTATTACTAAGACGCTGAGTTGTTACTGTTTTACAAAGTCCCAAAAAATTATATTTTTTCATCCTGTGTATGTTATCTTGTTTGTCCAAGTCATCATTTACTATATATTAAGATTTTCTGTTTTCTTTTCAAAAGATAACATTGCATATGCTCTTGTGAGCACAAAATGACGATAAGGTGAACTGGAGCTCAGTTCACACACAATTTATCTCATACACACAAGCTGTCACAAATTGATTTATTAATTTGAACACAGTTACAAGAAATTGTTTTTATCTTTTATCATTATATAATTATAATGCTGTTCACAAGGAACTATCTTGCTCCTAGGTTTTCCCTTAATATCTTGTGCATATCCTTTAATAATGTTTACAAAGATGATAAAACAGCTTGTGCACAAGTTGTCTTTTTTTGCACACGGTAATATCTTGTGCACACAAATAAAAGATCTTGTTCACACAAGTTGCATGCAGGTGAACATTTAATCTTTATTGTGCAGTGTACAAGATAATAATGGATGCTGTCTTGGATTTCTTATTTTTCATCTTTGTCACTCATTATTGTAATTTTTTTTTTTTTTTTTTTTTTTTTGGAACAAAATATCTTTTACACACAAATTATCCTGCAAACATTAAATAAATTGTTTTGGAGACTTTGTATTCAGAAGCCTTTTGTCTTTTGCTTTAATGTTTGTTGCTGGTGGTTTTTACCGATGTTTTGGAGGCCTGCACTGTGCCTTCATATTCACTTACTAGTCCCATTAGGCTCTGGTCAATGCCATCACATTTTTATTTCCTAGGGGAAAGTTGTCCCATACATTTTGATAATTAAACATGGCCTACAATGTTCCTGTTTTGGAACGAGTCCTGTGATTGGTCAAATACTGCTGTTCCAGCAGAGGCTCTAGATTTGCGTACTCTTTTTTTTTTTTTTTTTTTTTTATTCATTAAAAGCATCATTCGACTTCTCTCTAGTCAGTCTTTATCATATACGTAGATTACTGCAATGCCAAGAAGGTTGTTAACCTAAAGGTTTGCCAGTGTTTTCAATTTTCCTCAAAGAATGCCACTGTACATCACAGTGACTGATTTCTGGCCCATAATACAACTGAGCATCCCGTTGTAGTTTGAGGTTGTGGTGGTGGCTGATAGATCGTAAGAGTATACTACGTACTGTATAATCTTAGACACTCAGGATGCTGAACATTACTTGGGGGAAGACGGGAGGAGGTTGGTTGTTTGATTTTTCTTTGGATCAGTAGTTGAATGTGCTGTCATTTTATGCTTTAGTCCTTGTCTGATGTCTGAATTTGTGTTCCATAGACTATGTAATGATAATTAATATACACAGAGGTTATACGAAGTCTTATAACATCCGGTCATTCAATGCCTTGTATAGTAATTTAACTGACGATATCAACAGATAATGTATTGTAAATGAACTATTTTATTGGCAGTAGTAGTGTGTACAAAGACATGAGTGGGCTACTTCTCCATTCACACTCCCACCACGCTGTATAAAGATCTAAAACCTCTATATTAAACAGCATGGAGGAAACTTTTGTCTTCATCTGTGTGTGTCTGAATCTTTCATCTCTAGATGTTTTCCCCGTGTGATATTGTGACAGTGTTGCAAAACTGCTTGTTGTATTTTATACCCGACCGTTAGCATGAAGATAAATGTATTGTGACAACAAACTCCCTCATGCTAATGTGAACAGACTTTATTAATTTTTTTTTTTTTACATTATCTTGGTTACATCTGTATATAAACTTTAAGATGTTTCTAGCATTTTTTTTTACAGAACAGTGATGTTTATCAGATTGCATACTTAGAAAATTAAAGGAATGCATGCATCCAAACATGAACAGCATTAAAAGGCGACTATATAACAAGTAGAAATTCACAACTGTGAGCTCTGCTCACTCTGTGTGCTCATCAGTCAGGGAAGGAATAGTACAGAGGGAGGAGAGCAGGGTGACTGGATGAATCCATGATGTGGATTTTAAATGCTTTCAATCTGAGCAGATCATTTTCAGCATCAAATTTGAGCAGTTTACCAGTTAACATGAGGTGCCACAAACACAATTTAAAAAAAAGCACAGACCTAACTGTTGAAACGGATACAGGAAAGACAGCCTCTTAAAATGTAGTGGAAAGTGCACTTATTGGGTCTGCCCAGCAAAGACCCTGTCCAAACATCTGCCTGCACAAGGCCATATCAGATGCGTTCACACACAGAGCTAAGAACTTGACTATTTGTGCCTTTCGCCACCTCAGAGTATTTGTGGACAGGACCACATCTGAGCTGCATGGTGCAACAAACATCTGCTGCCGCTGCCCCGTTCCCCACGCTCTCCCCTGTAATGTGCACAGTGTTGCTGTACCCTCAGATTCAACACACTCACCATGACATTTGTTAGCAGGGAAACCATCTCTTGAAAAATCTGGAAACTGCTACACAGTCCCTTGTTAGATTTTAGGAACTGAAATGGTGAGTGTTAAAAAAACTAAAAAATGCAAATCTATATATGGTATTAACAAAAACTAACTCCTTACCCTATTAGCTTTACTTGCCAAGTAGAAATGACTATAGACTGATATTGTGAACAGTCTGTAAACTTTTTCACATGAGGCCCTAGGTTTTAATTCAGCTTGAATTTTTCTTTAAATTCACACATTAGGGGCCTAGTGCAGGGACTTGGAGTGCAGCTGTAATCTACATGGTACTGTAGGGCTCTGAGGACAAACCACTGGCTTTTACAGCATATGAACAGGGTGAACATCACATGCCAATGATTTATCTCCAAAGTGAGGAGGAAGCTCTGGACTCCTGATCGCATGCATGGCTTAAAAACATGTAGTCTTATTGATTTAACAATGAAATACAAAAGAAAAAACATAATGCTACACGGTTAACATAAAAGTACTAATGTCAGAGTTCAAGAAAATGTGGAAAAGAATATACTGAACTGAAGAGTAGAAAAAAAGGAATTTTAAGATTAAATATGAAATATTTTGATGCTGATTGTGATGCAGGGTGGTCTGGGATGATGACAGAAAGAGAGAAAGAAAGAGAGAGAGAGATCTGTATAGAAGACATCCTGCCAGTTTATAGTCATCTTCCTGATGTTCACACCTCTGGCACAGAGTGATCCATGGCTGACCGCAGGAGACCAGCAGACATCCTGGAAGACATAATCAGATCGATAAGCTTTTTGTTGTATGGCATCATACAAAGTTCCTCTTCGGACTGGGTTCATCTAACGCTGTCGTTCTTCTGCCACCCAAAATCGTACTGTCCCAGGGTTTGCATGTTCCCACAGTCTCAAATGGACCATAGCCGGGCTGAACACAGGCTGAAAACCATGACTTGCTCTGAGTCCCAGAGTGTGCTACTCCGCCCCCAACCCGGCATCTATGTCACTACATTCTGATTGGCAGAGAGAAAACAGGAAGTATATAAGCCGAAGAAAGAAACCCACCCCTTTATATTAAAAAAAAAAAAAGATGGCAGCGCATTATGAAGAAATAAAAGGAAGCAAGTACAACAGCCGCCTCACTGAGGAAGGCCCAGTTTAAATCTAGAAGACCATGTAAATGGGTTAAAGATGTGCAATTTCCAACAAATGACTTGTGACCTAAATGAGAATATCATGAGTTATACTCCATCCAGTGATATGGTACCTAAAGGGAACAAGCCGTCTTGTTAAACACAGATGAAACTCATGTTATTAATTCCATTTAGGTGTTTCAGGTCAGGGAGCCTGTGCATGGGTGGCTATGACACTTAAATGAAACAGAGCCATCATTAATGTTATTAGTAACACCTGTGCTTGTCAAGTCACCATGTCTGCTGTGAGAAGAGCCTATTAAAGGCTTTAACTGAGTGATTCTGTATTCGGAGCAGTGGGAGATTTTTATATCCAGCGGGACTTTGTATTACTTTTCTATATCTCATCAGAATCCAAGGCGAATCTGTGGGGTACTAATCACAGACTGAGCTGAATTAATGATAAGGCAGTGGCACTAGATTAGGTAAAATGTTCAAGTCCTACCTCTTAATCATGTGCTCATAGACGAACTTGGGCATGATGGTGATGGTCATGGTGGTGGGAGAGGTCGTCAGAATGTCCTTGATCTGAGAATCCTGGAATTTTCACAAAGAAACAGGAACGTGTCAGGGTCTTGTGTAAATAACGAACTGTTAAGTCCTGGTAATGAGAATCCGATGCAAAACATGAGACAAATACACACTCAAATACACAAAAGATGTGCTCTACATTCACAAAAGTCTTCTTACAATCAACAAAATCACTTAGTGATGTTGAAAAAGACAACACAGCAATAAAACGCCTCTCAAAAGCAAATAAATAAATCCCACAACCATCTATTTCAGTAGAGTAAATGTTAAGCTCAAACTACTGACAGTTATTACAAATTAAACTGACTAAACTGGTTACAACTGACAAATCCAGGCTAGGATGTCATCACAGGCCATGAACTCTGAGTGTGAGCTGAACTTTACACTGTCTGACATGACACTGTTGGCCCTCATGTCTCAGCTGCTTTTGGCAAACACCAGGTGACTGACCAGTTGTCACTTTTACACCCGACTTCATGCTGACCACACAGTCCAGTGTTTTGTACCTCAGTATATTCTCACACAGTGAATGAACCAACACAGTCGATACACATTTTTGTTCCTTGGGAAAACAATCAAGGCTACTCTCAACAGAAGAATGTCGGCAGCAACCTGAGCTGTGTGTCTACACTTTAGCTAAATGTTTCACAAAACATTTTCTGTGTGCTAGTTGTATGAAAGGCAGGGTTCAAAATGATCTGACTCACCAGACAAGGTGGCTGGTAGATGAAAAAACCCACCACAAAACACTTTTTACCAGCCAAAAGAATAAATGGCCTTTTTGTGTCACAGACATTTGCTTCAGGATTTCAGTGCGATAATAAAGTATTATGTTGAATACAAATGTAAAGAGGCCAGAGCAAAATCTGAAGCTAAATTATTTTAATATAGGCTATCAATCAGCAGTTAATAAATTAAATGCCACAATACAACTTAAGAAGTCGACTGCAAAATTCTATTTAACAAACAGTATGTGCTAAGTGTACTTCAGGTACAAACAAAAAAAACCCACTTAACTGTTTGATTCACCTGACATTCACCTGTCATTCCTGACATTTAGCTCCTCCTGAGACCCCTCACTACTGCAATCACCCACTTCTTTGCACAGAGACCATGAAGTCTGGTCTTTTGTCCTGTTTGTGTCAGTATTCCACAGGGCCCACCGCTACTCTGCCTCTTAGTGGCGGTTGTTATGGTCAGAGGATTGGTTAGACAGACTTGGACAGCAAGTGTCACACCATGTCTACACCAAAGTGTTTCAGCCCTGTTTTTGAGGCACGTGTGTAACCGATACGCTCCTATTGTAATCAGTTCAGCTGACTACACTGCCCGTTTTTTAGCTCATGTGTCACTCACACTATGTATGTATACGCGACCTAGAGCTTGGCTCAGATAGCCAATCAGAGGCAAAGTAGGGGTGGGTCTTCAAAGAACACATTCAGAAGCAGGGTACCCATAGTCGAGACTATCAGCATACTGTTTTATTATGAGTAGCCTGTGTTGCTATGTCGTCTTCTGAGATTTACTAGCCAAATGGAAAATCTACCCACAATTGGCACCTGGCGGGTGTTAACTGCAGACCTTGATGAAAGGTGTAAAGAACTGTGTGAAGTTCTGATCACTGCATTTGGGGACTCATGCAGAAAGACTGTAAACACTAACTAAACAAAGGGGTTACACTAAAAACACATTCACATTATTCCAGTGCAAACATAAAATCAGCCACCAAACATTTCATAAGAATCACAAATGTTCTGTAACTGTTCTAATTTGAATGATTTAGTGCATATTCTTCTCCGCACTGACACAGCGCAAGATGATTAGTATTCATCTTTCCATTCAAATTACAGCATTCACATGCTCTCACAATATAACCACCCACCATTCTTCAACGAGCACTACCTGATGTAAAGACTGACCTTGAGTCCAATGACGTTTTGTCCATTGATTTCACAGATGTAATGTTCAGTCAGCATGCCGTTCCGAGCAGCAGAACCATCCTTGACCAGTGAGGTGATTTTACCAGACTTGTAGATGAAGCCCACGTGGCCTGCGCTGTCTTTATGCATGGTGATGGTGCGCTGAAATGGCCTACAGCACAACAAACAGAAAGGATCAGTACAGGTCTAAAGCTTTGTAAAGGTAGATACTCTGTTAAACCTAATACTGAGACAACTATTAAACTTGCAATGTACCTTAATGTCTATGAATTTAGAATTATGATTAAGAAAACTTAAAAGTCAGGAGGGCATAAAAAGAAGACCAAGAGAAAAGGTGAGACGCAAAAGTGCAAATGGTGAGCAGAGGGAGCCAAACATCAGAGCCACAGACAGCAGACACAAGCTCATCCATTTAAATATCACAAATATATAAAAATCCATACCAATTTACACTCAAAATTTCTATATAAATTGTAAAATTAAAAAAGTATCTAACTGAATCCACCCCACTGAAAATTAAAACAAACAGCGGGGACACAGGCAGGCCAGCACACTGACATTCATACTAAGGCAACATTACAACTACAATAGCATTATCAGGGGCTGTGAGACTGTCCGTGTAAATGTTAGTGTTACTCAGTCAGCTATCTTTGCTATTTCGGGGCTATTGGCAAGACTGACTGCAAGATTAAGTGAGCCTGTCAAGTACAAGAGCTTTTCTATCAAAATGTTCCTGGTACTGTACTTTGCAACCAGAGGAACTTTTCTTGGAACAAAAATGTCCAGTTGTGCTTTCTAGCTTGGATTTCCACCACATCTGATGTGAACCAGGTAGATGATGCAAATTAGAGCTATAAAGTTTTTTTTTAATGGCTGCAGTATGTGAAATGTGGTATTAACTCACGAGGAAACAAAACAGTCTTGTTCTTTGTATTCACTGCTGATGACTCTGACGTTTGAGTTAAATCTAATGAATTAAATATAAGGAGGAAAATGAGGCTGAAACCCTAGAACACCTGTTTTTACTTTTGTTGACTAAAATTAACAACAATCAAATGATGACAATTGTCACACAAAGAAAGACTAAAACCTTAGTAAGTCCTGATAAACAGTTCAGGGCACACTAATCTTGTCCTTACCTGTCTCTGACCACAAGCTCAATGCGGGTCTCAGATGCAACCTTCAGGGCCTTGTGGGCCTTGTCTACACTCCAGCCAGCACAGTTTTGCCCATTAATCTGAAGGACCTGGTCCCCGAAACGCAGCCCAGCCAGGGCCGCAGGGGAGTTTGCCTGCACCAGCTGCACAAACACTCCCTGTGAGAGGACACCGGAAAAAAAAACATTCAAAATGAGTCTGATAAATGGAGGAAGTGAAAGGAGAAACAGAAGGCAGATGCTGATAGTGGAAAAGACTCAAGGATGAGACTGCAAACAGGAGATTAAATATTTATCACAAAAGAGTTAATGCTATAGTTGATTAAATGTCTGCTTGCCTCACTTGATGTTTATGCAAAACAACTGGACTGGAACAACAGACACTGCTCAAAAAAATGAAGAGAGCACTTAAATCAGACATCGGATCTTGATGAATGAATTATTCAAGTTGAAAACTTTTACTAATGTACACTTTATAATTTGTTCATTTGTTCAGAACAAAATGACATAACAGTCGATAGAAACCAAAACCATCAAACCATTGGGGCTGTATTCAAAATCACACTGAAAATCAAAGGGAAAAGCTGAAATCATGGGCTCATCCAAGTTGCATGATTTTCATCACAGCAACTCACAATGTGACTCCGAAGTGTGTATGGCCCCCACGTGCCTGTATGGACTCCCAACAACATTTGGGCATGGTCATGATGAGTCAGCCAATGGTGTCCTTGGGGATCTCCTCCCAGACATGGATCAGGGCATCAGTGAGCTCCTGGACAGTCTGTGGTGGTGCTTGGTGGCATCGGATGCACTGGTACATAATATGGCATCAGAGTCACTGACCCTCCACCAAACTGGTCATGCTCAATGATATTACAGGCAGCATAACGCTCACCACGGCGTCACCAGACTCTTTCACGCCTGTCACATGTGCTCTGCGTGACTCTGCTCTGATCTGTGAAGACAACGGGGCACCAATGGCAGACCTGCCAATCGTGGCGTTCTCTGGCGGATGCCACTGAGCAGTGAGCACAGGTCGTACTAGAAGCCATTGGTCCCTCATGCCTCCCTCATGGAGACTGTTTCTGACAGCTTGGTCAGAAACATGCACAACAGTAGCTGCTGGAGGTCATTCTGTAGGGCTCTCACAGTGCTCCCCCTGTTCCTTGCACAAAGGAGCAGATATCAGCCCTTCTTATGGCCCTGTCCAGCTCTCCTGGTTTAACAGCTGGTCTCCTGGTATATCCTCTGTGCTCTTGGTAAAGTTTATTTGACTTGGTTTTATACTGTGATAATCAAGTGTTCCCTTAATTGTTTTGAGCAGTTTACATCCACTTTGAGAATTTACAGTAGCATCTTGTTAAGTAATACAAGTCAAGCATGTTCTCTCCTCTGTGGATGCCACAGCTAGTGCAGGCTGTTTTACATGCAGCAGAAGCACGTGTGTTTAGCGATTACTCCCCTAGTCAAGTAACCGACAATTAAAACCACTGGCCAGCCACGTGGACAACAGTGAGTGTGATATATTCATCACATTTATATAAAAGAATACGCTAAATATTACAAACCCCTCTGACTAAAGCATGATACAGTTCTACTGCACCAGAGACTACAGCCTCCAAAGTAACCACACAGTTGAATCAACACCTTAATGAGGTAGAGAAGGCCAGAAAACAACAGGGCAGACAGCAATTTACTTTTTAACTAGAGAGGAAAAAAACTCAGAGAAATATATTTCAGTAGTGTTTTGTTATTACTTATTGTATGTACTGCATGTTCAGTATCTACTGACAGTACTAGTAATCCAACATAATAAAATTATGGAGTTGAAGAAGGAGTTCAGATTTTCTAGGCATCTGTATGGTGTCAACCGGGTGTTGACAGCATGCTGTATGGTGTCAATTGAGTGGTAATGACAGTCAGTGTGTGCTGAATAATTAACGCAGATGTCTGCCAAACTGACTGTGATGCGGACTCACGTTGTCGATGGCCCTGAGCCGAAGCCCTACTTTCCCATCCTGGTCCTTACAGAGAATAACCTCCCGCAGCCCTTGTTGGATCTCTGCCCTCCTGATGCCGACGTCTGCCCCAGTCACTGGCCGCACCATTCCCATGACACCTGAGCTGGAGGGCAGTGCCACTTGCTGAGATGGGGGCAAGAAAGACGGACAGCAAGGAAGGTGAGTAAGTGTAAAGAGGAGGGTTGTGGCAGAACAAGTGGGGGCGAGAGAGAGGTGAGAGGAAGATGAGATTAAAGAAGAACATTAGATTAAAATTCAGCTGGAGATAAAAAGGAATGATGCATCAAATACAGGCATGTA